TTAGTTGCAATAATAGTAGCCGAAATAATTATTGTTCTTATGTATAACTCTTGCTTATTGATGCCATTTTTGACGTAAAAAAATCAACTGATGCCGATCAGAACGACGAAACCGTTGCAGACGGTCGATAATTGTTGAGAGTCTGTTTTGGTAAACTTTTTTTTATCTCTGAATTGGAAACAGCACAACGTACTAAGGAAAAAGAATAAAAGAAATTTTGATTTGTGTTTCAATGTGATTTTACAAAATTGCAGATTATTTAGATGAAATTATTGATAGGTTTACAGAAAAAAAACTTTACCACACAAAACTTTTTCTGTCTTTATATTTTCTTGTGCTTTACTTACAATCAGGTGAAAGACCGGAGGCATAGGAACGAAAGCAGGACAGGACTAGTTCAATGATTTTATCTTTTACTACACTATTTGATCATTTGTTCTCGATTTTTTCTTTCCTTTTTTTTAAGCGAAATTTTTTTATTTTTTTTTTTGTAGATATCTTAGTTTCTGTAATTTTCTTGTTGTTTTTTTCTGCCGCATAGAAGCTTCAGTAATTAATTAACTTACGTAAAATCTTGGGCTGTTGCTTATAAGTCAGCCTTATTGACAGCATTTAAAATCTATTCTGAGTGCTGATATTGGCTGACTTTTTTACTTACAAAATTGATGGCTTTTAAGTTGATAAATACGGTTGCAAATCTTTGCTTCACAGTAGTGAGTAATATTTTTTATTTAAATAGCACATAAAGATTTTTATGGTTTGCTTTTGATAATAGGTGTCTTCTGTAACTTATCAAGAGGCATTTAAATTTTTTATGTTTAAGCTTTATAGTGCTCAGTTAGCGGTGGTGAAATCTGAAGGAGAAGGAAAATTTTATAATTTCTATACTGGTAGCAGAAACACAACCTTTTGTTGTTGAACCATTCAGCTCTTTCTTACATTTCTTTTTTTGCTTTAGTCATTTGATTTGTTTGGTGAGATTTTCAGCATCTAAAGTTTCGACAGGTTCCAGACATTTCGCTTTCCAAACAGCTGTTTTGGCTTCTGCCGCTGTTAACTAAAAAACTCAAACAAAGAGCAAAAAATCTCAAGCTTTTGTTGTGGAAGCTCATCCTGCAACTGCGGCCTGTTCCGCATTGATTCTCTGCCCTTTGAGGACGTCTTGAGCCGGATTAGAACTGTCGGTTGTTCCACGCTGACCATTCACAAAATTAAACCTTCACTTTCTTTTATCGGACTGTTTCGAGTTGACTGGTTAAGCAGGCAAGCAATATGTAAGCAGTTTAAAGCAGTCATTAGTAGCAATTGGATTTCAAAAATCATTCTTTTGGATGGGTTATAAAGATCAAATATGCTAACAAGTGAAGAACTGAGAAGAAAGAAAGAAATTAAGCTTTAAATGTTAAGAGAGTTTTTTGCTTTGTCTTTTTTGTAAAATTTTGTAGATATTGAAAAATTTTAGATCACGCTCAGAAAAATAAGTTTTTTGAAGCATCGCGTTTTTTATGTCAGTGACGGTGTAATTAACTCGTAAAAAGTTTCAAAAGGTAACTTTTTCAAAAAGTGAGCTCTCAGAAGCTGTTCAAATGAGACTGCTCAATATTTGCGCTTGGTCAGAGCAGCTTTACAGGTTTTAACCACTGTTTAATATCAAGTTGGTATGATTACACAGGGAGTGATGATAACTTAAAATGTAATAGAATTTCATGAGAAGCTTGGGAAGGGCGTTTTGAAAGCTATTGCTTCTTCCTGACAGAGGTTTACCTTGTTTTTGTAAATAAACCGTCTAGTCTTTTCCGCTGTGTCACGGGCACCTTGTCTGGTTAACTTAGCTAGAAGTCTTGTTTGTTGAAGCTTTCTAGTCTTGTGCTAAAGTTCAGTATTTTTTTTTTTTTTGCTTAACAAATTCTATGGAGTATTAAAAAAATTGTAACTTGACAGGCAACATTCACCACAAATCCTTCAGTTTTATTTATATTTTTGAAAAAAAAAGATAAATGCACTTGTCAGATAGCTAAGGAAAATCAGCAACATTTAGAGTTTACTGAAGGGTGCAGAGGTTTGCCAGCCAATTTAGTAAGGTAAAAAAAATTTTTTTTTTGTAACTTCATTTGATGCAGCTTTGACAGTTATGTGGTTACGTGAATCCAGGAAGCTTTGTTTGACATTGTTTCTTTGAAATTCATTTGTTTCATAGTTTTAACCTCATATTATAATAATGGAGATTAGATCGTCACCAGTGGGGAAAAATGTCATTGAAAAAAATTGGTCATACGTATTTGAATTAAACGTATGTGACAGCTAATATTCCGCTTCAGCTGATAATACATTTCTAAAAAATTTTTAAAAGAGTTGTCAAAAAATACGATCTTCTTTGTATCAGATAGCTATTTTAACGCAAACGTTTTCCACCCACCAGTTTGTAATATTTAATTTCGTTATTTTTTTTGCTTATGCCAGAAACCCATATTAGTTATGTCGAAATTTTATTTGATATGTTGATCAAAAATTTGCCATTTTTTTGTTGCAGAGATGTGTGTTAGGAGCTGAGGATAACCTAAGATGAAACCTCGAGGCAGAAGCCATCTTCCGTACTTCCTTATTGGTATTTTAAGTGGATGTGTTGTTACTTTGTTGACGACATCAAAGGTTTTACAGAACAGTGTTGTAAACAGTGACGACAGTTTCACTTTACCTAATGTCGATAAAGCTGATGATTTGTTGGCTCATGGTAAAGATGACGGAGTCGACGGTAACAACGTTGACGATGATGACGCTGATGCGGAACCGCTAGTACTTCATAAGCACAACGGTAATCTTGCTTACATTATTTTTCATTACGAATGCTTTGGATGTGAGCCGAAAAACAATTATAGTTTCATAATATTGTCAATTTCGTTTCTTGAAAAATATTACAGTATCCTATCTTGCATTACTGTAGCATTATTATTATTATTAAATTTTATTATTCATTTTGCTATTCTTATTGCGTTTTTGAAGGTTTCTATGGAACCTATTAGGAAAACTAACTGAAAGCATCTTTATGTCAACATTTTTGACTTTCAGACGAAAGTGCGCTGTCACGGGTATTGTATAAAAATGTACGGGTTTTTTGCTGGATAATGACTTCCTTGAATAACACATTTACCAGAGCAATACACGTTAACGCAACATGGGCACCCAGATGCAACAAATATGTTTTTATCACTAGTGAGGAGGTATTCCTTAATGTATTTTATTAAGTCATTCTGCCATTTTCCTTTGGGATTTAATTTACCTGTAAACCAGTATATTGGGAAGCAAACAAACAGTGTGAAACAGCAAAAAAAAATCCTAAAAAAATTTTTAAAATTTTGCTGTTCAAATATGTATGAATTATTTTCCTGTTTGCTTTCAACAGTCTCATAAATGACAGCCGAAAGAATAATGAAATATGGATTGACGAATTTGAGCAGTTTAAAAACGGTGACGATAAAGTTTAATAAAAAAAAGATTAATAAAAATTATAAACATTTAGAGTAGCGGTCTTCCGACAGTTAAACTGAATGCTACTGAAGGACGTAAATTTCTGTGGATGAAAACCAAAGAAGCATTTAAATGGATATATAACGTATGTTATTTTTAGCATTTTTATTTTTTGTAGTTTTAATATAAAGGTTCAAAATTTTTAACTTTATGCAATTGTTGAGTAGGATTAACAAATTAAATTACTGCGTTGCAATTATCGCAATTATTGCTGGTGACAGTCGAAACGCTTTTGTAACATTTTTTCAGTTAATCTCATTATAAAAAATTACTTTTTTTTTTGTTTAAGAAATAAACAGTTATATTGATTGATTATTAACATTTTTACATCAAAGTTGAAGTTTTCAGATCTGATAAATTGGCATTGAGTGGCTAGAGAAAGAAATTTTTTATTCTTATTTTTGGTCACAATTTTTAATAACAGCTACATTATTTTATTATGATCAATTATAACAAATAATAAGAAATTTGTGAAAATTACAGAATGAACTTCAAAATTACGACTGGTTTTTAAAAGCTGATGATGACACGTTTGTTATTGTTGAAAATCTTCGATTTATGCTTCTTGCGTACTCACCAGACGCCCCAATCTATTTTGGTTGCAAGTTCAAAATGTACATGAAACAGGGGTTTGTTATTTTTCTATCCTTAACTTTCGTAATTGTTAAGCAATTTATTTAAAGTTACTTTTAAACTGCTACTTCACTTTTCTTCAAAACTTTTTTTATTAAAATGCAGACAAATTTTGTTTAAAAGTATCTAAACTCTATGCGCCTGTTGTTTGAGTCACAGGTTTTCTTCACTTTTTATAAGCAATATATGAATTGAAGTATCTAAAATAGCCAATAGTTTATGACTAGTTCTTTCCAGAATTCCTCTGTTATCTGAGTCATTTTGTAAATTTTTGAAGAGAAATATTGTAGACAACTAAACGTTCTACTGTTGACTTTTTTTTTTCAGATATATGAGTGGTGGAGCAGGATACGTACTTAGCAGAGAAGCTGTTAAACGTTTTGTAGAAGATGGCTTAACTGATTCGCATAAATGCAAAGCTTCGAACACTGGTGCTGAAGATGCCGAAATCGGAAAATGTCTACAAAATGTTGGGGTAATCGCTGGAGATTCGCGAGATGGCAGGGTTAGTTTTTAACCAATGTTGTTTAACACTAATTACTCTCGCTCAGAAGTTTCGTAATTTTATTGGCTAACTGATGCGCGTTTTTTAAGAAAAAAAAGTACAGTTTTTATTTTACTGCAATAGAGTTCTTTCACTTTATATTTTTACAAGTGGCTTTCCTCTGTTTTACAACGGGACTTTTTGCTTTTAGGAAGAAAAAACTTGAGTATTTTTGCAAAATGGTGCTCTTAGGTGTGGTAGAAAAACGTTGGTTGATATTTCGACAAATTCTTTAATATTTTTTTAAAAAAAATAACTTTTGTAAACAACGAGTCTCCTATTTTTTTAATAAAATTTGTTTAAACGTCTACTGTTTGAAATAAGAACAAGTTTTGAGTGGCTACAGAATTCAACTGGTTTAGTCTATCACTGGTAGCTGTAAAGATTTTCACTGTTCACTTATAAAGTTCTAAGGATACTTACCAGAGGATTTCACATACCCAGCTTCAAACACTTAATCCCTATAGTTTTATCAATGATTTCTATACCGATGATTCGATGAACTCACCCACCTTGCGCATTGGCTACAGGCTTCTGCCAATAGTTTTGCACACTTTTGCCTCAGTTTTGATCAGTTATTGCAATTATATATATATATA